ATTCCTTCAATTGTGCTATATTCTTCTACTCCCCCCCCCTTTTAAACAAAATCAAAAACCCAAATTTTTCAACAGCATCAGGAAAACCAAAAAAGTGAAATAAAATTTAACACAACTAAAACGAATTATTAATTTCTGACAGCAAACACTAATCAAGAATCTAAATCCATAGGAAAAATCGATAGATTAATCGAAATCAAAAAGTAAGTGAAATGAAAAACGAACGAATAATATTCGACTCATCCGATTGATGATTCCCATCTTCTCGAACTCATCGCCATCGCCTCTGATCAACTGATCGTGATTCGATTTTAGCATCGTGAAACTGCAATCAAATTACATTTCATTCCATCATTTGACTGCTTTATAGTCAGCTGCGCCTGATAGCTAAACTTATCAGAGGCAGACGTATATCCAACCACAATACTGCTGACAACAAAATCTGACTGTTCACTGAGATAATCTTCAAATCTAATTGCAAATCAACTTCAATAGGTGACATTAAAATATCTATCCAAATACTTCATCATACCTCAATGAAATTTTGAAAAATAAAACAAAAACCAATACCTAACTACACACCTTTTATTGATGCAGACAAACAATAAACATTTAAACTATTAAAAAGTGCGAATTGAAATGATTCGTAAATTCGTAAAATGAAAACAGCTGAAAATCTCGACCATTTATTGATAACGAATTCATTGAGTTGTCCAAAGTCGGACAATTTATCGAGATGAGGATTCGAGAAGACGTCGACCCATAGCTGTGTGGCATGGATCGAGACACGATCGCGTGCCTTCAGTATTATTTCCCATAAATAATCATGTCCCTAAACTCACCAACAACGATCACATCATTCAATCATAAAATAAAATTATAATAACCAAATGTAACAATCTCAAAACAACACGTCCTCATGTCATCCATATCAAAATCATCAATCGAACGTTCACGCAGTGATTCACTATCAAAATTTCCAATCCCAAAAATCGTCACTACTCAATTTTCATTAACTCTACAAATCCATAAAATAAACTTCCCCTACGTGAACGTTCAGTAATGCAAGATTTCCAACCGAATCGAATTACATTTTGAAGTGACCAAACTAATCATAACGAAATAAACGAAACCGAAACAAATCAAAAAACAAACCTCCAAATCGAACGAATTCAACGAGAAATGACAACTCGACGGCGGTTGTATCAATCGCCCGGTTCGTTTATTCACCGATGTCCAAAATATTTTGAAACAACAAAACCCTTCCTCATTCAACAAATGTACCGGCAATTTCAAGATTCGACCTGAATTTGCAACAATTCTCTTCATCAAACTTCAACAAAAAAAAGATCCATAATATCCTCCAGATATGAGCCGAAA